TTGGGTTGGGGAGGGGGGCGAGGCAGAGGGGAGCCACCTTGTAAATTACTGTCCTTGTAGTGTTGTTTATGTTGAGGAGGGAGGGGTGCGAGACAGAGTGGAGCCACCCACTAGGTTGCTGTCCTTGTAAATTTTCCCTATCAGTATAAGTAGTGATTTTCGATGCCATTGAGCAGTGTGATGCCTCAAAGTCAGTGATGTGGCTGTCCTGGATTTGGGGTTGTTGAGGAAAAGCTCCTCCCCTTTCTGACTCCTCAGTGGCCTCCTGCTCAGGGGCTGCTGATGCCTGCTCTGACTCCCTCAGGCCCTTCACCTGACCCTCTTCCTTGTTCTGCCTGTGTTTACAGAGCAGAGGCGCAAGGAAGGTTTCTGTTAGCCTGCTGTGCCTGTGGTGACATGGTAGGGCAGGTAGGGGCTGGGAAAGGTTGTGGGTGGGCTTTTGCTTTGGTTAATTCTGATGGTTCAGCCTTTACCTCCATTGACCTTGAGAAAGTATTCTGCACTGTCATGACCTCATCTGTGCAACCCCTTTTAAAGATTATTTCTGGAAGAACCTCAGTGTATGAGGCAAATAAAAGTGGAGCTCCGTGGTTATTCCAGCCCACTCAGCTCCAGCTCAGCAGTGCCTGAGAGGTAATGGAGCCAGAGGGGCCTCCAGCTCCTTTCCAGGCCTGAGGTTCCGTGTTCTGTGGAGGAGGAGGGCAGGGGGACCCTTCCAGGACTGGTTCCTCAAGCAGCTTCTGACAGCCCTTGCCAAGCCTCACTCTCTGGCCCATGTGAAAGCAGCAGCCTTCCCTGCCTACTTGGCTCTTCCTGCCCCATCGCCCTCGCACAGGTGGTGGGGCCTCTGGCGGTTTGCTCTTGGCCCAGTGACTTGTGTCCTCTTGTCACAGGGGTCATGCATCTTTCACAGAGGGAGGAGGGAGGCAGTTAGCTTGCTTTCTTCTTATCCTCAGGAAAAAAGTCCAGCCCCCGAAACTCCTGCACACACTCTGTCCTCTCTGATCTGAGTGTGGTTTTTCTTCCTAATGCGCTCTGGCCTTAAATGGGGCTAGGAGGAAAAAGAGGGACCTTGGGAACGTAAGAATCCTTGGCAAATTACCTTAAATTAATGAGACTAATAAAGGAAATTGAGTTTAGCTTTGCAAATTAACTTCATGTTCTGGATTTGGTGACTTAAATTGCATATCCTAATTAAATACCCTCAAATAACCATGAAGTGGCTTCTCAGGTCCATTTGACCTAAAAGTTTCTCTGATCTGTGAACTCTGTCAAGTGTATAATCAGTCTTCTTATATATATAGATGTTCCCCTTTAAGCATTTCTATCCCCAGAATCTCAAGTGCCCGCTTAGGGGAATGGGAAGGGGCATATGGGTGGAGTGGGCAGATCCCAGCAAGTGGGGAGAGAAGAGGTTTGGGAGCCTCCCTTGGGCTGGCAAGGTATCAGGGTACAGATTTGCCCTGTTAGGTGGCATGTCTCCACTGCCCCAAGTGAAGGGAGGTAACTGTAGCCTCACTAAGAGGCTGAGTAGAGCAGCCAGGCAAACAAAGGAATGCTGGACACTGGGAGAAGGTTCAGGAGAGAAAACTTCCTCCAGTTAATTTGTGCCCAGGCCGCCACTTCTGCCTCTGGCCAGTGTGGGATGCAACTTCCATCTGCAAGAGGATGGCAGTAAGTTAAGTAAGAAAACAGATCCCCCCAGGCAGTCATGACTGACATGGCCATCATCTTGCTGTTGTCTCCTGCTGGCTCTTTCCCTGGGTGTCCTATCTTTTTAAATAGCTGTAACTAGAGCACAGGTAGAATATTTCATTCTACATGATGCAGAACTGACATAAACATTTTTTCATGCTATGTTGTCTTTATTATAGTCATTAAGAGAATTAAACTTTTTATTGAGGTATAAAAACCATGTACAGCTCAGTGAATTTTCACAGAGTAAATTTGCCCCTGGAACCAGCCCAGGTCAGGAGACAGACATTACTGGATCTCCACAAGTCTCCTTGTTCCCTTCCTGGTCAGTCCTCGCCCCTAAGAGATGCCAGCGTCTTGACTTCTGACACCACAGGCTCATTTGGCCTGTGTCTGGACTTCACAGAGGTGGAATTGCCTAGAATATGCTCTTGTGTGTCTGGCTTTCCCCATTGACATTGTTTCTGAGAGTCATCTGTGTTGTTTTATCTATTCTCCTGTGGATGGACATTTGGATTGTTTCTAGTTTTTGTCTGTTGTGAATGTGGCTGCTCTGAATGCTCTCTACACCCTTTTTGGTGAGCCTAAGTATGCATTTCTGTTAGCAGTTCTACTCTGAGTTGTATGCCAGGTTACGGGGTAGGTCATGTCTAGCTTGGGGAGACACGCCAGTTTTCCAGTGTGGCTGTACCGTTTTACACCCCACTAGTAGCGTACCAGTTCCATTTATTCCACATCCTTGCCAACTCTTGTGCTATTTTTTTTCTTTCTCATTTTAGCTCTTCTAGTGGGTGTGCAGAGTATCTCATGGTCATAATTAGCACTTTCCTGATGACTAATGAGGTTGAAGAACTTTTCATGTATTTATTGGCTTCCTTATGATAATTTTAACAGCTTTCTAACAGTTGTCTTACAGATGTTCCACACTGTGCTTACCTGTAGCTGGGCATTAGATTGGTTCCAGTGTTTGTCATTATAGGTAATGCTTCAGTAAGCATCTTTGGGCCATGGGCAAGAATTTTGTTATTATCCACAAATTTTGATAAGTAATGTTAAATTGCTTTCTGAAATGCTTGTACCACTTAACAATGTTGTCAATAATGGAAGTGAGCCCTATAGTGTTTCCTCTAGGTCTGCCAGCAAAGCATATTCTCATTAAAAGAACAAACCTCTTGGAAGATTACCTTAGATGAATATAGGGTAGTTGGCATTGTTTTAATTATTATGAATGAGTTTGGTCACTTTTGCAAAATGTTTACCACGAGTATTCATTCCTTTTCCTTTTTTTTTGGTAGGAGAGCCAGGGAGAGGCTTGTACTTAACAGATACAGTGAGAGGACAGAATTCCTGGCTCCAGCCAGGAGGGGACAAGAGAGCTAGTAGTGATGTGTTATCTAGGGGTTTTATAGGCAGTTGAGGATTTTTGGGAATGTGAAAAAAGGCTTTAGGGGTGTGGACTTGTTAAGTGGTTCCTGAATATTTAGAATTAACTTAACACAAGGAACTTCCTGCTCTGATTTCTTCCTCAGATAAGGGTGTCTTGGTCTAGGAGCATATCAAACATGGCCACCTGCCCAGCCCTCAAGGTGGGCTGAGGTATTGTCTGTTTGTTAAAGAGTAAGTTAAGAATCTTACTTCTTAACTTCCTGGGTGTTAAAATGCAATCTTATCTTTAAGGTGGATTCCTTCCTGCCTTTTACTGTGTTGTTTATGCCTGGGCTTACTTGCCATTATTAACTGCCCAGATTGCAAATCACCTCATCAGTTCTGAAGGAGGAAAGACAGCACATAGGCCTGGGCCTTTTAGCATGCTAAAGTGAATCTTACACATGATTACAAATGATTAGTGTGGGTAAAATTGTAACATTTCCAGAATATCTCACCTGGCTTTAGTACATCTGCATATCAATAGACATTCAGAGGTGGAAAGAAGTATGGCATTAGTGCATTTGCATCATTCCTCAGGGGAGGAGACAAGTTCATCTCCATATCAGTGGGTAATTACCTGGGCTAGGAGGGCTTATGTATTCATTCCTTTTTTATGAATTCTTGTCTTTCTCCGCTTGCATTTTTGGGGAGCCTTTTCTTGTTAATTCATACAAACATGTCTGTATTGTACAGATAAGAGTACTGCGGGCAGTCTTTACTATTTGCATTGCATATTTTTGACTTGTATGTCTTTTAATGTCAGGAAACTGGTGTGTCTTCCCCTTGGTGACCTCAGTGTGACTCCTATTGTCTACACTCTTGGCTCTGGCAGCTTCAGAGGCTCCTGTGCTGGGTGGGCCCTGACATCTGCCCTGAGAGCCCCCAGTAGTGCTGGGACTGAATGGGAGCCTGGGTATTCCATCCAGGCAGGCACCTGGGGCCAGGAGCAGCAGCGCTGGTGGAGTTTGCAGAACCTTCTCCTCTTCCTGCACATTTGGTTCTCACTGTGCAGCCCTGTGAGATAGGAGCAACTAGCCTCACCTCATGTTAGGGTCCAGGACTCCGGGGTTTCCCAGAGAACAAGACACACGGACACGGAGATGAAAATCCAAGCAAAGTCTTTATTCAGCCAGCAAGCTGGGGTCGACAGCACCTCCCCTGACACGCAGGCCGAGTCCGAGCTGCTGACCCCCAAGCAACTTTAGGTATGGTTTATATGGGATTTCTACAATCATTGCACCGGAGCCTGCACATTACCCCAACCAATGAATTTGAAACACGTTCTATACTTTGGCCAATAAAATTGGAACAGGGATACACCAGGTGCCTGACCTTTGCACAAGCATTCCTATGTGACTTATCACGAGTTTCGACCCCAGGGGGGTCGTTTACTTCTAGTTATCTAACTTAGGGTAGGGTCCAGGAATGTTAGCCTCACATAATTTCTACGAAAACTGGGTGGCTCAGCCCTGTTCCCTGCATTCCTCTACACTCAGACACCAAAAAAAAAACCAGATCCTCATGGGGGCCCAGCAGCTGCTCCCAGGGCCTGACATTTGGAGACTGGGACTCAGATTCTCAGCTCCTCATTTTCCCTAAGCCATGCCCCAGCTGCTCCTTAGCACCGGCCTATATCCCCCTGGATCACTCCCGGGGAACAGATACTAACATCCACTTTCTATTTCTTATTCTTTTGGGCTTTGAGCAGAACCTTTGTTTTTGAGCTAAAAGGTGACATTGGTGTGTGGAATGCAAAGGGACATGGAGTAGCTCTTGGTTTCCTCATATTTTCAAGCATTGAGATTAGAACATATGCATTATAATATGAGAGCTTCATGTTTGACCAGCTTGGTAAGTTTTTAATTTTCTATTTTTAGATGATGGATTTGGACGTGCTTCTATGAAGAAATGCCACATGTCTGTACTGGTCCAAGAACAAACATGTCCAGTAAGTTGCTGGGTGAATTAACTCAAGAGCAGGCACTTTGGTTGCAAAGCACACTTTGAGAAGGTAGGGTGTCTGTTTATATGCAGACCTTGGAGAGGAGTGTTTTAAACCAGCCTTATTACTCAGTCTAATTTCTTAGTTTCTAAAGGTTGGTTCCTTCTGGAGACAGCAGTAATTATAGTGTGTAGAGTTGGAAAATGTGAAACTTACTTCTTGCTGCTTAACACACTTCCTGGAGCAGAGTGTGAGTTCTTCGCTATGCCAGAGCAACTGTCTGGTCCAGCTTGCGGTGGCACTTTGCCCAGAGACTTCCATATCCGCAGCCCAGCATGACCTGCTTGTAGGCATAGATTATCACATTCAGGTTTTGTGGGAAAGAAAACCTGAGACCTAGATATGTGAGGTTTCTATAGCTCTGGAAAGGAGAGCAGATTGGAGACATGTACCTGTGTTTTTCCAATGATCCTCCATGCTGTTGTAGCCAGTGGGTGGCAGACCTCTTCATGCATCTCTTCTTCTGACAGAGGAGAATTGACGTCATTTTAAAGATTCTGTGAGACTTGCCAGTGGAAAAGCGTAAGACAAACAAGAAAGTTTCAAAAGCCATATTTTATAATTATATTTAAAGCATCATTTAAAGTGACGTATCTTTGTTGAAGAGAACCTGATTTCTTTGTGGAGCCCATGGGCATACTGTGTTGGGATGTGGGGGAGACTATTGGGGGTTTGCCAGAAGAGGTCGTTAGAAGGGACCTAGATCATCAGATGCTCCGCCTGCCAGAGGACCCCAGCTTCGGTGCATCCTGCCCACGTTAGGTCGCATACTCTCCATGAGAAACTGCATCTCAGTCACCAGCTCCGTGTTTCTTACCCACGTTTGTTCCTTTTTCTCAGAACTGCTGCCACCTTAGGGGACTGGGGAGTGGTGCTAGCACTTCCCCGGGACTCAGGCGTGGTCTGACCCAAGAACAGGAAGTACATCATCACCAATGACATCATGACAGCAAGAGAGCACAGCCCTCGCCATGGCGCCAGGGCCCGTTCCATGCAGCGGGCTTCCACCATTGATGTGGCGGCCGACATGCTGGGCCTCTCTCTGGCAGGTGAGCCTCACAGGGCTTGTGCTGGGCCCCTGGTACCAGTGTGCAGTGCTATGGTGCTGTGCCCACTTCCCAGGGCCCCTGTGACTGCCCTAGGTTGCAGGGCAGGGAGGCGGAGGGCAGCTCTCCTCCTGGGAACGCTTCCTCTGAAAACTGACCGCTGTCAGTTTTCCAGTGTGGCCAGGCACCTCCAGGGCTCTTTTGCCAGCAGAATACATGGGAATGTCTGCAGCGCCGGTCTGGCAGGTGCCAAGACCGTCATGAAAGCCCTGCCTGCTTTGGGTGTGCAGGCCTGAGGAGGACGGATTTGGCCTTGGAGTCTGAGACTTCTTAGGAATCTCAAAGTACAAGGTTTAGAAAACGAAGAAATTATCTCTTAGTTGTAAAGGGGAAAAACACAGAGTGTTGGGTGTTTTTAAATAAGATCTAAAAGCAAGGAAATTTATTAAGGGTGATTTTTTTCTGTCCTATCTTTTTTTTTTCAGGAAATATACAGGATCCAGATGAGCCCATTTTAGAATTCAGTTTAGGTAGGTGTCTTTACGTTTTTTAAAAAAATGTATTTTGCTTAAAAACAAAAGCGTGTAGACTGGCACAACTTTGTATCAGAGAACTTGCTGCTGTCACTTCCACCACTGCTAGAGTGTTTCTGAGAAGGTGAAATCCAAGGCAGGTGCCAACTTCCTGTGGGGGACTTACATGCCCACAGGACTCACATCTCCTCAGCAGCAGCTCCCCACAATTGGCAATGATGGGGAATAGGAAGTGAGTCCCCCCTGAGCTGCAGAGACAGCCTCCCCCTCCCTTCTCCTGCTGCTCGGGGAGGGGTGAGAAAGCTAGGCTCAGGGCAGCGTTGTCAGACCCTGACCAGCAGGCCCTGTGTGGCTGAGTTGCCCTGGCTTCCCTACACTGTGAACAGAGGTGATGACACCTGCGGGCCCTCCCTCCCTGGGAGCATCAGAAGAGAGTAATGTGCTAACAAATGTAGTAGGATGTACTGGCTCTGAGATCAAAGAGGTGTGGCCTCACTGTGGCCTGTGCAGGAGGTCGGAGGGCCAGGTGGGGTCAGCTGCAGATGCTCCTCCTCCAGAGCTCGATGCTATCCCCTGATCCTCTCCTCTTCACTCGTCAACTGGGAGGCACTCAGCATTGGCCAGGGGCCTGGCAGCAGTGGCCAGGAGTGGGGTGACATAAAAGAAGCACCTCTTAGGGAATCAGAGGATCTGGATTCTAGTCCAGATTGTGCTACAAGCTAGCTACACGGTCTTGAGCCAGCCTCTTGACCTTGCTGGACAAGTTTGCACATATGCTGTGTGGAGTGTTACTGATTGGAAGGCAAAGGTGCTTAAAGCAAAATGAAATAACTTTGCAAAACCTATAAAAATGCAAGTCCACTATTATCTAATTAATACTAAACTCTGAAAACATCCCCATTCCAGATGAAGTGCTACTAAGCATTCAGAGGGTTTCCCCAGGCCTGACTTGATGGCTGGTTCTGCAGTAGGGAGTGAGTACTGGCCATGAACTGGGAACAGACATTTGGGGGAGAAGCTGGCTCTAGCCCTGCTTACTCAGGCCTGGAGCTTTATTGCTCTTCACGAGGGGTAATATTAACCAAGGACTTAAAGTTTCAGGACAGGAGAGTGAACATATTTACACCCCTTATCTCAAGTCATCTCAGACATCAGGAAGAATAAGAAACAGAAACACATACTGTCCAGTGAGCCATTTTTGGAACCTCCAAAATGTGACCTGGAAGGAGTAGAGGGAGAGGAGCATGGTCCGGCCTCCATGACGTGAGGGCGCTGGGGAGCCAGAGCAGGTGATTTGTCCCTGAGGCACCCGGAGGCTTATATTTGTGTAAGCAAGAGTTTAGGGTTCAGGTTTCTACCAATTCCCTCAGCCCTAAGGGGACTGGAAATTTATTCTACCAGAAACTTCAGAGGCAGAGAGGCTCTGGGTTGTGGTACTTCAGCACAGAGGAGAGTGGGGTGAAGGGCCAGACAAAAATGGGCTTAAGTGGAAGCCTATTGAATAACAAGCTCCCACCTTTATCCCTCCACCCGCCAACCTTCTCCTTGTCATCCTAATTCTGCCAGGCTTGTTCTTGCAGGCAGGAGGTGCTTTCCTAGAGGAAGTTATCCACCTGCTCCCACTCCCCTGAAAGAGACCAAGAGACACTTGCCTTCTGAAACCCAACCAGAAGCAGACCAGCCAGGCCCTCTGGGCACTCTTGTGCACCTAGCCCACCAGTGCACACTCATCCATTTGATCTGTCATTCTTGAAATCAAACGGACATTTTTTTGTGCACACAAAGATTGGTACATGCATGTTGATTGCAGCTTTATTTGTAATAACCAACACTAGAAACAACCCTCACATTCACCAGCAGGGTGGTAAAGTAACTATGGAACGTATATACAGTGGCATGCCATTCAGCAAGAAAGAAATGAACTGCTAATACACACAACCACATGGAAGAAACTCAGAAGCATTCTGCAGAGTGAAAGAAAGAAGCCATACACAGAATTTGTATGTTACTTGATTCCATTTGTGTGGGACTCAGGAGGACTAATCTATAGTGATAGAAAACAGGTCCGTGGTTACCTGCAAGTGAGCATGGGGATTGAGTGCAAAGGGGTGCATTGCAGGGAACCCCTTGGGTTGGTGTTAGCCTTCCATATCTTGACTGTGGTGGTGATAACATGGTGATAACTTATCAAAACTTATTGGACTCTCCACTTAAAGTGCGCATATTTTATATATAAACCATGCCTCAAAGTTGATTTAAAACAAAATGAAAGAATAGTCAAAGATCACCAGATCTTTGTGGAAGACCCACAACATGAAAGAAAAAAACAGAAAAAAATAGAACCTGGAAGAAACAGACATTGAAGAAAGTAGAAGAAAACATCAAAAAAATTATGCTTCACAGTCTCGAGAAGATAGAGTGTCCATAAAACAAGAACAGAGCACAATAGAGAAAAAAGAATGAATGAAAAACAATGTTAGAAATTTAAAATATGACAGACAAAATTTTAAAGTTCTATAAAGGTTGGAAGATATTCAAGGAATTATATCAGACAGTAAAAATTTTAAAGCAAAATAGAAAATGGTAGAGAAATGGAAATGGAAAATTAGCAAATTCAGGAGGAAATAACAAGAGAAAATGTAAAAGAATGTAAGGGAGGAAATTACCAAGAAATAATACAAGAAGTCTCTCAAAACTGAATACTGTGGTTAAAATACCTGCCAAGGCCTAGCATACTGACTGAAAAATACCCATGTTAAAGAACATCATGGTGGAAAATTCAGGACACCGGGATGTAATGAATATAAGAAAAATAAAAATATGAAGAGTTCCAGAGACAAACAACTACAACATATCCAATGATCAAGGATAAAAGTAGCCTGGAGACTCACAGTGACTTTGGGAACTTACAGACAGTGGGAGTGGGAAAGTGTTTCCAACCTAGAATTCTCTAATCAACCGTGCTGTCAATCAGATGTGAAGGATGAAAGAAATTCGTTTCAGCTATACAGAGTCTCAAAAGCATTTACTTTCCCCCACAGTCCTTTCTCTGGAAGTTAGTGGAGGATGCTCTCCACTCAAAAGATGGAGTAAATTGAGAGAAAGGAAGGCTTGGGATCCAGAAAACGGTCCAGCACAGGAGAGAAGTGAAAGAAACCCCACTTGGCTCATAATGAGTAACAATGAACTTAGCTTCACTAATGCAGAAATGGATTTAACACAAAATTGAGCTAAGCTGATTGAGTATAGAGAGAGGGTGAGAGTTGGTATAATTGAATTAAAACCTCTTGCCTCTGTAATAGAAATCAGGACATTTCTGAATCTGGCAAATCAAGAAGAGTAATATAGTCATATTAATTAGACACAGAGAAAGAAACAGCTTAACAAGATGTGAGGGTGAATTTTATGTTAAATGAATTTTACAACAATTAAAAAACAAAAAAGGTGCTGAGCACGAGCCAGATAGTTGAATGATCAAATACTTTGTCTTAAAAATAAAAGCTTAAACTTAAAAAGTGCCCATTTAAAAACCTTTAATACAGAAAATGTTAGAGGAAGAGAAAACCCAATCAGAGAGAGTCACAGTTGGCATTTTGGTAGATATCCTTCCAAATATTTTCTACATCCACACAGTGTTGTGCAGGTATCTGTGATGCTTTTGGTTGTGGAGGTGATAGACTAATTTATAGAAATGTTACTGTGCTATTTTTATTTATTTATTTATAAATTTTTTATTAAGGTTTTATTGATATACACTCTTATGAAGGTTTCACATGAAAAAGAATGTGGTTACTACATTTACCCATGTTATCAAGTCCCCACTCATACCCCAAGGCACTCACTGTCCATCAGTGTAGTAAGATATCACAGATTCACTATTTGCCTTCTCTGTGCTACAGTTTTCCCTGTGACCCCCCACACCATGTGTACTAAACATAATACCCCTCAATCCGCTTCTCCCTCCCTCCTCACCCACCCTCCCACACACCTGCACTCCCACACACCTCTCCTTTGGTAACCACTAGTCCCTTTTTGGAGTCTGTGAGTCTGCTGCTATTTTGTTCCTTCAGTTTTGCTTCTTTGTTATACTCCACAAATGAGGGAAATCATTTGGCACTCGTCTTTCTCTGCCTGGCTTATTTCACTGAGCACAATATCCTCCAGCTCCATCCATGTTGTTGCAAATGGTAGGATTTGTTTCTTTCTTATGGCTGAATAGTATTTCATTGTGTATATATACCACCTCTTATTTATCCATTCATCTACTGATGGACACTTCCTTAGGTTGCTTCCATATCTTGGCTATTGTAAATAGTGCTGCAATAAACATAGGGGTGCATATGTCTTTTTGAATCTGAGAAGTTGTATTCTTTAGATAAATTCCAAGGCATGGTCAATTCCTGGGTCAAATGGTATGTCTATTTTTAGTTTTTTGAGGAACCTCTTTCCTCAATGGTGCTTTCCACAATGGTTGAACTACCTTACATTCCCACCAGCAGTGTAGGAGGGTTCACCTTTCTCTGCATCCTTTCTAGCATTTGTTGTTGTTTGTCTATTGGATGTTGGCCATCCTAACTGGTGTGAGGTGATATCTCATTGTGGTTTTAATTTGCATCTCCCTGATGATTAGTGATGTGGAGCATCTTTTCATGTGTCTGTTGGCCATCTGAATTTCTTCTTGGAGAACTGTCTCTTCATATCCTCTGCCCATTTGTTAATCGGGTTATTGCTTTTTGGGTGTTGAAGTGTGTGAGTTCTTTATATATTTTGGATGTTAACCCCTTGCCGGATATGTCATTTACAAATATATTCTCCCATACCGTAGGATGCCTTTTTGTTCTGTTGATGGTGTCCTTTGCCATACAGAAACTTTTTGGTTTGATGTAGTCCCATGTGTTCATTTTTGCTTTTGTTTCCCTTGCTAAAGGAGATGCATTCAGGAAGAAGTTGTTCCTGCTTATATTCAGGAGATTTTTGCCTATATTGTCTTCTAAGAG